ATTTTTAAGCCTTCAAAAACGCAATTTCCCGCATTTTGAGAGGCAAATCATGGTGTTGAGAGTGTTTGTCGGTCCTTCTGATGTTTTCATATTTTACTCAAGATTTTTGTTAATTTGCCTGTCAAGGTTGACGGATTCGTTAAGAAAATTCTGTAACTCTCCGCAAACTTCCGGAAATTGAAGGGAAAACTGGTTCGATCTGGCTAGAGCCGAAGGGACCGAGCGCAGAAGCGCGAGTCGAGCGCCAAAGGCGCGAGCAATGTAGGGGGGTCCGGGGGCATTCTCCCCCGGGAAATTTTGTATTTTTAAACCTTCAATGACACATTTTCCTGCACTTTGAAAGGCAAAATTAGGCGTAACGAAGAATTATTCATTAACGCTTAACGCTGAATTTAGGATGACAAATAACGTTTTACGTTGAATTAAAACGGCCAATAACGCTTCACGAGGAATATACCGATAACGCTTAACGTTGAATTAGAGCGGGCCGGCAACGATTAACGGTGAATTAAAATAGCCCATAACGGTTAACGAAAAAGGGCATGCAGACCCTCCTTAATAAGCCACCTCACAGTTGCAAGAGTACATGTGCAGTAGTAGTCTAGGGTCAAAGATTACAGCCCTTCACTTGCAAACAACGCCATGATTTTTGGCCTAGACTTGTAGACTGTTTAGTGTCTGATTTTTCAAACTTCAATAGACAAAAACTAATTTATATTCTTACATCAAATATCAGAACAACACAGAAAGCAAAAAAAAAACAGCAACGTACTTGACTCTTGTTGGTTTACCTCTGGGGTCCTTTAGCCATTTATTAATTAACTTAATTTGTTCTCGGATTCGCCTCTTCATTATTTCACTCCATACATAGTATGGAGTGAAATACTGTATTTTCCTCATGTTTCTTCTCCTCCTCCTCCTCCTTCTTCTTCTCCTCCTGCCATTTTTTTAATTCCAACATGTAATCACCAGACGTGGTGACGACACACTCAAGTTTTTTCAACTTATATTAATGCCGCCACCAACACAGCGAACAAACACATGACAGGACAATACTCATTTACACCTGAGCTAAGTGAGGAAAGTGCCTTTCCCTTTCCCAAGGGCACAAGATAGGTGGCATGTCAGGACTCGAACCCGGGACTCTAAGTTCCGAGTCGCGCACTCTGCCGCTACGCCACACGACCCCACGTGCCTTCTGCCATTTCTTTAAATTGATTCCACTCCTTCATTTTTGGGCCAAATAAAATGAAATTTGGCATGAAGGTAGAGTGGGTAAATACCCTCATGCGTTTTTTTTTTAATTTTTGTGATACAAGCTTTTACAATTGCTTTATTTGCTTTTTTTAGCTGTTTTTATAGAGATTAAGTACCCGTGGGTGAGTAAGCGCGTGGAGAAGAAATAAGAAAGGAATTCGGGGGCAGGCCCAAATATGGGCATGCAAGCATGCAACAGGTGTGGCCATGTTTGCAGATCTGGCTGTTGATTCGCTAATAGCTAATTGATTTATTTTCTACCACCTACTTAGGCAGATTCTTATGTTTGTTTACAGGTTTTGCCAAGGAAAAGGAGTGTTGTAAAAGCGGTGGAAACATTATAGCTACAGCTACAGGGCTATTTTTATTCAGCTAGGCCAACCTCTCTGAAGAAGAG